GTTGACAATCCAACAAAATTGAGGTACCTTCTCAGTATAACTTTGCTGATTACCAGTATTTGAATGAAACATATCAGAAAATGTTGTTTCTTAATGTCGGAGCATAATACCTAGAACATTTTTTAATCCAAACTCTCCTCTGGATGTTATGCAATACGACTATCTATCTACATTAGAGCTCTGATCTGCAGAAGCTAGAATGGTTTATCATACCCTCTTTGAATCACATTTTCGTTATGGTATTTGCTTCTGGGGTGTATGTTCTACCACATGCCTTCAATCAGTATTATTAAAACAGAAACGCGCAACNAAGATATTTCACCTCCGTTCCAAATGGAGTAACCTCACCTTTGGGGAAAACTGGCGTTAGATCGTCCAAGTTCCTCCTCCTGGTGAAGGAGATTTCAGCACAGTTTTACTGGGGAAAAACAGACTCCAGGCAGCAACAGTTAACAACTTTCATATAGTAATATTTAGTTTTGTCATTTATTTGTGTTTCCTATAAGATTAGTAGACTCTTTGTTCGGCAGAAGGCAATACCTTATTTCGGATTGAGAAGCATAGGTACGTACTTGAACTTCTTTTTGTGGTTGCTATATAGACTAACCCGCAGCTACAAGGTTTCAGGTACACTACCACCACTGAAGGTTTTCTGGGGACCTTAGCTGGCCTCAGGCTCTTTGAGTTCTCATTGACTTGCAAATTGGTTACATGTCGTATTATTATCAGTGCCCCCACAACCTGATTCGTAACATTCTGAGAATAGTGGAGGAATGCTTTTATTCCAACAGGCCTCGCTGTAGTTATTTTTTGACGTTTTCTTTCCTGGGTCGTATATTCCGCTGCTAGTAGGTCTACACTGAATTCTCAAAAAGAATATTTCCGCCTTTCAAACCACGAAAGGAATTGTCGACTCAGACAAACCGACTAATCAACTTTGGATATACATGTACTCGAAAAGAGTACTAACGTTGCCTTGTTAAGTGAAACACACATCTGTTTAAGAAATCGGTTTTTCTGTTAATCAGCTGTCGCCTCCATACGAACGACAACTCTCAGAAGTTGAGAAGCTTGTGCGAGCTAAGGACTAACGAGGTCTTACCTTTTAACGTGTGATTCCTAACACGGTTGCAGAATCAT